TTTAGTTATAGTGTGTGTGTGTGTGTGTGTGTGTGTGTGTGTGTGTGTGTGTGTGTGTGTGTGTGTGTAATGTGAGTGCGCGTATATATGTACGACCATGAAATATCACAAGTGTATATAGTTTCTTGTACACGTGTATACCCTCATGAGAATCATTCTTACACACTCGCAAGTTAATAACATCTTTGAAGTTTACTTTATTGCTTTTTTATATGATGAACAAAGCTTGGATGCTATAAAGCGCATATGCGCGTATTTCGTTACAGTACACGTGACATGAACTATAGATAAATATGTGCATATATGCGCTTTACGGAATCTAGTCGGAAATGCATCTGTAATTATTGATGTAATGCAATAAATTTACGATTAATTTTTCATCAATATCTATATTCATCATGCCGTATATCGATATGTTATTGATGAGCGCTGCTCAATAACTAACAAATTTTTATTTTCAATTGTGATATGAACTGTCAGATCATGTGATATAACATAAGAGTTGGCAAAATAATATAATCATATAATTTTTCGAGATAAAAATCATCGAATTAATAAGGATAATATCAAAAAATTATCAGCATTTTTGTATTTATTAGTTGTGATTAGCAAAAGAAACAACTTAATAAACGCTTTACGTTAATAATTAATAATTATATTTTTAAATCTAAAAAAACAGTTCTATTTCAAAATGGGTCTAAAAGTATAATTTAACTAAAGCAAAGTGCTTACTAAACTGTTTTTGTGATTATACATATAATGTTCTGTATATAGAATTGTTAAATAGTCTTTCTACTATAGATTCTTAACAGTTAATTTGAAATCGTACTTTTGGATCTTTAGATCCTTAAACACAATCCACTTTAATAGAGTTTTATAGTCCGTTTTTTATAAGTATAACTATATAACATGAAATTATAGATATAATTAATAATTAAATATAATCCAAAAAAATCATAATTAAATTAATCAGGAAGCTACAATTAAGAATACATATTTCTGGGATAATGTGGAATCAATTAATGATAATAATTGAATTGATGCTATTGACATACTTAATAAAGATCTAATAAGTTTTTATATATAGCTGTAGAAAGTGAAGAGGCTAGTGATACATCAATTAGTGATACATTCTTCAAAATATCAAAATATAATTAGCATGAAATTATTATATTTGATTTCATTCTTGGAAAAATCGCGATTTATTATAAAAATAAAAACTTTATAATAATAACAAA